ATTCTAATTATTAAGGCCCCTGTATTAGGCTAAGGCATTCGTAGTACGGGCGGAGGATGAGACCATGGTTGAACAGTGGGTGAAGTCGGAAATCGAGTGTGTCAAGAACAAGACGTGACCTTGGCCGATGGCACAGCCCGGCTCTACTTGGTGGATCATGGGACTTAGTAAGTAGGGTTATAAGTCTAAGTACCTTAATTGGGGTTATAAGTAGATATATCTCAAATAGTTACCTTACTGATAACCCTACTTACTAAGTCCCATGGTCTTCTGAGTACCGCACCACAATCGAGGGACGAGCTCCAGGACAGCTGTGCAACTGAGCCGAGCTGCGTCAGAGCAAGGGATGATCACACAGAGGGCGGCTACTTAGAGGACCATGGGACTTAGTAAGTAGGGCTATAAGTAAGGTAACTATAGTTATATAGAGATATATCTACTTAAAACCCCGACTAAGGTACTTACAACCCTACTTCCTAAGTCCCATGATCCTCCAAGTACAGACGTGAAGGCCAGGGGGATCAGCGCCGAGGCAACAAGCATCAAAAGAGTGCCATGCGAGCAGAATTTCGCAAACATTAGTTTTTAGCCTCCCTAGAGTTTTCACAGTACTCTTTGTCCCCGCGCGTGTGTGTGTGTGTTTTGTTTTGTGTGTGTGTGTGTGTGTTTGTGTTTGTGTGTGTGTGTGTTTGTGTGTTTGTGTTTGTGTGCGTGTGTGTGTGTGTTTGTGTTTGTGTCTGCGTCTATGTCTGCGTCTGTGTCTGTGTGCCTGTGCCTGTGTCTGTGTTTGGGTGTTTGCTTATATGTTTTTATGTTTCGTTCGTTCCTTGCACTGGACCCTCGTACATCACGTAAATACCTAAACGTTTGAGCCTCAACCCCGGCAGAAACTCCAAAACGAGCATCGTGGAATGTCGGGGTCCTTACGATAGTCTGTGTGTAGATTTTTGGGCCAGAAGCGCTAAACACCCGGCTGCAGGCGAAGGAAGTGAAGAAAGACATGGCGAAAGCGAAGGAGAAGTCGTCCCGGACTTGGGTCTAGGGTTTAGCGTTTATAGGGGTTTAGGGTTTGGGGTGTACCTACTACAATAGCCGTCTGTAGACCACCTTCATCCTAAACATTCCCAAAACCAAACACCCTACGCCCTAAGCCGGAGCTACAAATACAAAAATTCTGTGCCGACAGAAATGGAAGGAATTTCGAGGCCTTAAGAATTGATTAGTGTAAGTGCCGCAGGGGCCTCAATAATTAGTTTTGGGTGGATTGAATATAGTAAAGCGATGTGTCGGGACAAAAAAGGCGTTCTATCATGTGCTAGTTATTCCGACCCCTGTAGTATTAGGTCCAGCAATCAAGCCCCCGTTTGTACCAAAGTAGGGCCCTGTAGCATAATTATGTCGTTGTATTAATATTGGGGGCTGTTCCAAACAAAGGCCTGTTCTGGAGCCCCAGTTTTGTACCATTTCTCGTTTGCTCCGGTCCCATAGTCTAGAAGTCGAGAAGGTGCGCGTTCGTTGTCAATCCAGTTCGGTCGTGCTCTCTTCACATATCAGGTGGGCACCAACAGCTCTTCTGCTCGACACACTCAGACATGCCCCTATGTTCTATCCTCAAACTACTCAAACCGACGTTTCACGAATTGAGGCCCAAGCCTCAAAGCAGCAAGGTTGAGTCTGCACATGTTAGCTTTAGGGCTTCAGGAGGTTTCAAATTGTGACCTAGAGGGTATCTGACCCACCGAGGGCTTTTGAGGCTTCTAGTATAGGGTCTGAGCGTGGCTTCGGATTCAGTGTTTTCGCAGCCATCCGAATGTTCTCAAACCCCGACGGTTTGAAGTGAATTAAGGTTAGGCTTATGTGGGGGCTTACCTATAGTCGCTATAAAGTAGTTCCTTTTGTTTTTGCTTCTGCCAGTTCTATATTTAGGATCCAATTAGGGTATCTCCAAAAAAAACCTACAATGCAGACTATAACCCTAGGGATCAAAATAGCCCAAAAGCCATATATAGTACGGTCTTTGGGCCCAAAAGCCTTAATATATGAGTCCTTAGATCCCTAGGGTAAGGAGACACCGAAGCGCGCTCTCCCCTAAGGTCGTGGCGCAAGCAGCATGCCGGGATCCCAAATGCTGCGCTGCATGTTTGCCGACTTGCTAGACATGGGAAGAGTGGCTTATGCCTAACCCTAAGGGTCCATGTACCCAAATAGTATATACATTCGCCTTGAAGTAGATACTATATTGGTACTTTGCAGCCAAAGTATAGAAGTCTATACTTTGTCCCATGGACCCTCAGGGTAAACTCTTTAAGCCCTAAACACTGAAGCCTAAACCCTAAACCCTAAGCCCAATCCCTCCAAACCCCCTTCAGCATCGACCCAAACTCCCTAAACTTAAACACCATGGCGGTCTACTTGGAGGGCCGGGGGTCATAGCCCCAATTGGAGTCCCTTTTAAGGCACTTACAAGTCTACTCATCTTAGTAGCTGAGTGAATACACTTTACACTTTCTGGGACTATAAAACTGAAAGTGTACACTTTCTGCGGGCTCAGGAACTCCGCAACTATTTTATTCCCTACTTGCTAAGTCCCCCGACCCTCCAAGTAGGCTCTGAGAACAGCCGCAAGCAAAGCCGAAGCGATCCGAGACGGTACAAACCCCTCAGCCCCTGAAGCGGCGCCAAATCAGGACTTCGAAGGGTTTAGGAATTAGAGTCTTGGCTGCCCCCATGAAGACTTTTGGCTATAGGTTTTGTGGAGCTGTCAGGTTCAGGGTTTAGGATCATGCTTCCTAGGTTTTCAACAGGGTCCTTGCATAGCATTTCCGACGGAGTTCTGGAGCTCAGGGTTTCACGGCCCGTATGAGTCGTATGAAACGCTTCAAACCCCCTAACCCGTAACCCACCACATTCAAGCCGCGAGCTTCAGATGTCAGACCTCAGCAACCTGTACCTGCAGGAAGACTTCGTGAATGCCTGCCGCGCAGGTCGTGGAGAAGAGGTCAGGGACAGGATTTGGGATTTAAGATGGGGGTCGGAATAAGTACCAATACTATCCCTTAGTGTTCCCGATGATAGCCAACTATGCTGTAAGATCACCCAAACCCCTATTCTAATCATGAAAGCCCCTATATCAGGCTGTTTACAACGGTAGTTTTCTGAGTTGAGGATTTTAAGGTGCCGAGGTTTAGCTTTCGGTTCCTGGGTCGAGGCCAGGATTTTGTTGCTTTGGGGTTCCAGGGTTGTTGACTTGAGATTGGAGCGGGAGGCCCTGTGAGATGTGTAGCTCTCGAAACTATACCGGAGTTGTTCAGCCTGAGTGCCTTCCGAACTTAGCAGCTGAAATTGACAGAAACTTGCCAGTTGAGAAAACACGTACCCCGGGCATGTTTCCTAGTGTAACTACAAGTGTCAGGTTAGGACAGAACGAAGACTCATCAACCGAACATTTGGCTCAAGGAAAACAAGTGCGATTGCTGTACTTGTTGCTGTTCCTTGCTAGAACACTTGTGTCTCTTGTGTTCTTCTGGTTAACAGCCTCAGCTTTGAGAGTTTCGTTTGTGTTGTGGCTAGGTGAACTAGAGCCTCTACCTGAGCCATAGCCGTGCATATTTCTCCACCGTCCTTTGGTGTAGAGAGCGAAATCGCATTGTGTAGGGCATTCGCTGTCCTGCCTTGTACTGACACTCCCCGCGTAGAGCTAGAGCCAAGCCACCGGGTTGAGTTCCATATTTGCAAACATTACGCACTTCAATCACTGGGTTAGATTCATACAACAGCTGCGCGTGCGACAGATAACACACGCACTTGTCAGTCATCCGCTGAATCTTTGGACTAGACTTGCAAGGGCCCTAAGGAAAAGGGTTTACAGGCAAGCCAGACTAAGGATTCAAGAACTTCTCACACTTCGTAGGTGGTTTAGTCGTAGACTTGAGGAGGTACCTGTCCCGTGGTTTCCGCTTCGTGGACCCTCCCCTTGGCCTCAGGCACCACCTTAGTCACCGTGTATGCCCAGAGCAGACGGGCATCCGACTGTGTGTGAAACTCTGCACGACTGGTTTGTGGATCTTTACTATAGCATAAGACTTTGGGTACTTGAGACGTTCTTCCCCACTTACCTTGAGAATCGTAGGAGGTGGAACAGGACTAGAACGCGCTGGCGAAGGATTGTTCGCAGGTCCATTGAATCGTGGTATCGCACATCCTTCTTCTTGTACCGATTGCATCAAATACATAGGGTAACCCAATTTCGATACGCAGACGATTACATCGATTGGGGAATCCCGAGATACTACCCATAACCAAAAGGCTGCATTCGCGCTTGCCTCCGCCTGCTGCGTCGAGGCTGCTGCATTGCAACAGGTAAGGGTGTCCTTGGGTCGCCGCGTTGGCATCTCGCCACCGGTGGACTTAATCTGAACCCCTTGGCCTGAATTCCCAACTCGTGTCTGCTTGAGCAATTGAGTGGACTTGCGAATTATCCAATCAAGGATTGCGGCGAGTACCCATACACCTCTTCCGATACCCGTTCACGGTTTAGGAAGGCCTAGGGCTTTGTGGTGTGACGGGTTTTGTGAAGGGTTGCAAACGGTTTCCCATCACCGCCATCGTCCCAAACAACATCGAAGGCACATCCTACAGTCCCGCGGTTCTCCCTTTAGGTTGAGGACTTGTGGTTGACTGGGTTATTGCCCTCCTGTTGGCATCCCGCCACAGGAGCAACAATCAACAAAGCACCATTGCCCGAGCACTGAAATCAAAGATTCAGGATTCGGCATCAAAGACGATTGTGCATCACCTCTGTGCTGGCTCGGATTGCTTGTTAGTGTGGTTGGTGACGGTTTTTCCGGTTATTAGTCATCCGAGGAACCGTTAAGGCTGTGAAGTCGAGCTAAGGCAGTTCGCACACACATCCGTTCACCTTTAGAGCCATTCTAACGGCACGGGGGAAGGTTGATTGAAAGCCACTGTAACGGCTTTGGGATTGCATAGTGTCTTTGGGAATGGATCCCACATCTCAGCGGAGTCTCGCCCTCTCGCCGGCCATTGCCGATGACGAGAGGCTGCAACAATCTCTTGAGATATTCAATGGGCTATCTGGAGGAGGAAAAATTAAGAATAGGAGAAGGAAAGGATTGGCCATAACCACTCTCAACATCTTCAAGCAGCACCTACACACGTTGGAGACTCCACAGGCATCAGATCTCCTCATTGTAGTGTGCAGGCGAATTGCTGAGATTGAGGAGCCAGGCTTTCTCTTTGGTCAGTCGGTGCCGCTTTTGCAAGACGATCCTAGCGACTATGCTGATGCATCAGGGCGCGACGACGATCGTGAGGAGCTTAATGCACCGGACGACGACGATCTTGAGGAGCTTAGTGCTCCGGGCGACGATATCCACGAGGAACCTAATGCACCGGACGCCGATATTGAGGAGTCTAATGCACCGGGCGCCGTAGTGGATGTCGTGGATCTTTTGGATGAGGTCCCAGAGACGCCGAGACCTCCTGCTAGTGCCTCGGCCAACTTGCCTCCTACTCCGAAGCCCCCAAGGTCTAGACCCAGAATAAGTGGTATTAGAACGCCGGTTCCTCCACCTTCTAGGCCCAAGCACTTGGGGATTAGAACGCCAATCCCTCCATCTGCAGGACGGGAGGCTCCAGAAGGGGGCTACCTGGTAGTTCGCCCCAAGAAGCGGCCAAAGCCGCCACAGGACCTAGAGGGAGAAGATTTGACCCGAGAATTCCCAACAATTTCTGAGTCTTTCCTTCCTCGTAGTGTTGATCCGGTTGTTGAGGTCTCGGTTAATTCTTGGACTACATCGGAATGGGAGAATTACAATGCCAAACAGGAATCTTCTGCCGCTGCCTCTTCCTCTGATCCTGCTCCCGCAGCTGCTCCTTTCGTTGATCCTGCTCCTGCAGCGGGCGCCATTTGGGTTGAGCATTTTGCTCTCGACGATGCAATTGCAGAGTTCCGCAGGCGATCTGCTGCTGATCATGTTCTGACGCTGGATTGGCATGGTGTGGCAGACAAGAGCCTTGAGGTCACTTCCCGTGTTTTCTCCTCGTGCGCGAGCCGGCCTGATATTTTGATGGCAATCTTGTCGAAGACGGAAACGCAGCGATTTAAGGAGGTTACATTCAGGGAGACTGACCAAATGGCTCGGGCGCGTGGCATCACGGTATTGTGCCTCTTTACACCGCGTGCCGTCGGAAAGGGCGGAAAACTCAATGCACTTTGGGCGGCGATTAATGGCTCCGGCGCGTCTTTTCGAACGATCACACATGTTGACGATCGGGAGGATATCGTACGAGACTTTGACCGCTTTAATGCATACGGGTGGCGCGGTATTCATATGGCTGCCCGCGAGCGCCGAGATCTGCACCAGCTTCTGACTGATCAGGGCGTTCTCTAAAAGAAAATCTGGTGCCACGTTATCAGTCCTAACTTCCTCTTCGTTGTGTGCTGCGGCATTTTGCTTTGTGCTGCACCCGGGGTGGATTCATTGGATTGTGATTCGGGTCTGGATTCATTGGATTGTGATTCGGGTCTTAAGGTTCATTCTTTCGGGTTTGTGACGTCGGCATTCCGCCTTCCCACGCTTGTTAGGTGCTGCGGCATTTTGCTTAGTTCTGCACCCTAGTGTGGTTTCCCATTGGCCCGAGAACCGAAAACAATTGCAAACCGAACATTGTGGTGTTGGCATTCTGCCACCCACAGTGGTAACAATGGCGTCTTCACATGTTTTGGAGACGGATCCCCTGCAGATCTCTTCCACTTCTGCCTCCGACGAAGCTGCAGCTGCTGTGCAGGCACCGGATGTATCATTCGGGTTATCGGTCGTAACCGCAACTAAACAAAGTAGCGGGAGCGAGAGCTCACCCAGGAGTGCGAGTAGAACCGCATCCGAGGGTAGGATTGTTGCTGCATCATCCTCAAATAGGCCTTCGAGGGCTTCTAGTCCCTACCATAGGAACAAAACCGCCCCAAAACCAAAGCACATGTATGCGTGCGAGGTTGCAAAGCCTAAGATGCCAACGCCTTCCGGTAATCCAGTGACGTTTGGACCACCATCACAGGAGGTTCATCTGCATAAGCATCAGCAGTTGGGTGTCATTGTACAAGGGGTTGACCCTCAGGTCCATTCCCAGGCATTGGCGCAAGCCCAGATTGTTGAAAGCCAGGCAGTAGCATATGCTTCCGAGGTTCAACAACAAGCTCAGGATCAGGTCCAGGCTATCGCCGCCAACATGAGCAAGCAAGCCCAAACACGGGTTCAGGCCATTGAGCAACAGGCGCAAGCTATGGTTTCGGAGGTTTCCGTTGAAGCTTCGAGGCAACTGGCTATCGCAAATGAGACCATTGCTAGCTTGAAGCAACAAAACGAGATGTTAGCTCGTCAACAGCAGGAGCTTTACAGTCAGATTGCGACGTTGCAAAGCATCGTAGCGGAAGTTAAGGCCGGTGCTGTGAATACGAGTGTACCTCAGATTACCCAAACCCAAAATGGCGCGGAGATTACTGAAGCGCTTAAGGCCATGGCATCACATGTTGGACAAACCATGAATGAGCTTAAAGATGCAGTGTTGTCCTCGTCCGCCGGAAATTCACCAAAGGCGAAGGGGCGCAGGGATCATAAGAAGGATTCGGATTATTCGGTTTCGGGGATTCCACTTGGCAAAGCTGCTAAAGCCCCGTACTTATCCAGTCCCCCACCTTATGCATGCGAACGACAAGCACCAACGAACTTCTTTGATGCTTGGGCACGGTCCTCATCATCACTTGCCAATCGTCCATCGGCTTATGCATGTGAGAGGTCGGCAACGCCATCATCGAATGCAAATGCATCACCTGTGTTCACGACACCATTCTCTAGCCTAAGACCTTTAGCGGGACAGGCTACAAGTAAAGGTATCGGGATTGGTGCGGGTTTTGCGCCTGCCATCACACCCATCGCTGGGCCGAGGGCCCGCCACCGCCTCCTGAGCCTGAGATCTTCAACATAGGAGATCCCGAGGAGGGTGAAGAAGAAGAACAGGTTGATGATGATCCCATTGTTGAGCCGCGAGCCGCTGGTAACAATGATCGGGGTTATGATGGTGGTGCTGATGATCAGCCTCATGATGGAAATGAGGAAGAGGACTATGAAGCAGCTACTTATAAGTATAAGGATCTTAAAGACTTGAAGATGCCACAGCTTCCAAAGGATAGTGTGGGTTTCCGATCGTGGCGCAACGCGCTGCTGACGCAGTACTCTGCCATTGATCGCACGGGTCAAGCCAGGATTCTTAGATGGCTGCAGGTATGCATTAGAACTGAGGTGACAAACCGCGAGATTGCACAGCTTCAGAACAATCCTGATCAGCTCCCACGGTTAGACTCATACCTTGCATCGCAGATTTCGGATTCGAGGTATATGAAAGGGGAGTTCGGGCTTGAAGTGCAGGCGTACATTGAGAGGGCGCATGCACATGGAGTTTTACCATCTGGTCGAGCGATGATAGCAATGCTTTCGCGCAGGTTTCGCGTAGATCGGGTGAGAGGTGCTACGGTCACAAAGCAAACATTGTTGGCTGTAACGTTGGACGGATTCTCATACAATCAGATGCAGACTTTTAAGGAAAGAGTCGAATACATTCTGAATGGGATAGCCCCTGAGCACTGGCCGTCTGACGCGACTTTGTTTTCGTGGTTTTACGCTAAGATTAAGAGTTCAAGGGGAATGCAACGGATCATTGACAAAGTTAAGGATTCCTCCCCAACTTCCCGTAGGAGGACGTTCGGATGGCTCTGGGAGCAATTCTCAGATCACCTCGCAGAGCTGCGTGAAGACGCCAACGAGCGAGACTTTAGGGAAGCAATGCTTAGAGAAACCGAGGGAAAAGGGAATAAGGCCACGGCAAAGCCTAAAGGTCAGGATGCTAATGCAAAGGCAAAGTCGATTGCAACAGCAGTTCCCGCAAAGGACACCGCCGTTCCAGCAGCGCCCGGAAAGCCTCCCAAAGGGACACCAAAAGGTAAGGCTAAGGCTAAATCCAAGGCTAAGGCTAAGGGTGGAGCCAAGGGTGATGGATCCGGTGAGGATAAAGGCAAAGGTAAAGGAAAGGGGAAAGGCGATCCAAAGGGTCCCCCGCCAAAGGCGGATGCAAGCGCTAAGGCTAAAGCTACCGTACCATGTGTGTTCTTCCCAAAAGGAACATGCAACCGAGGCAAAGACTGTCCATTCTCACATGAGACAGGGGGGAACGGGAAGCCCAAAGGAGCTTCTACTTCATCAGCCGCGGTAGCCTTGCTACTCCCAACAACGGCCGCAGGGAGAGCTATCGGAAGTGCAACACGTGTTGGCAAATCCGCCACTCGTGATTCCCGCCATAGCCTGTTGCGTATCGGCTTCAACGCCGTTTGCAAAGCGCTTGCTACACTTGCCACCTTTGTCTGTCCTGACTTTTCTGCGATTGCACATGAAGCTTGGACATCGCAATCCCTCGCAGCGCCTGCCAGTCTTTCGTTGCCAGCCGGGGTTCAAAGGGCTTCGGGTTATAGCTATAAGCTTGACTGGATAGCGGATTCGGGTGCAGGTCGCAGCTTGACCTCTTTTGGGTCGTTGAGGGCTCAGGGTGTTTATCCTGATGACCTAGTATGTCACGAAGATGAGCCAGTATCATTTGAAACGGGTAACGGTAGGACTGAAAGCAATAGCACCTTCAACACTGTTGGAGCTATCTTTGGGCATCACAAAAGCTACGTGCTGAATAGTTGCCCCACTGTTCGGAGTATGGGCGAGCTCGTCACTCAAGGTTACGCCTTCATTTGGATGCCAGGTGAATTACCGTATTTTGCGCCCCAGGACGCAATACAGTTAGCAGCTGATAACACACGGATTCATAAGGCATCTAGGGTTGAAGGTAATGTACCAATCTTTTCCGAAGAAGTTCAGTTCGCTATGCCGGCCCAGAAGAAGTTGATGCATGACTCAGCCCGTTCGTCAAAGACTTCAAAACAAATCACTTTTGATTCGGAGTCACGTGAAATCTTCTATGATCCCGGAGTCCCTAGCTCAACAGCCGCAGGATCTAGGGATCCCGATCCGACCGTAGAAGTAGAGGAACCAAAGGCTCCCGAAGAACATCCCGATCAACCAGTGCCGCCGCCACCGTTACCGCCACCGGCAAAGCCACCAGGTGATGGCGAGTTGGCAGATTCAGAAAGAGAGTCAGGCGAAGAGGATGGGCTTTCTAGGCATCGGAGTCTTGTAAAAGAAGCGCAGAGTCTTGAGCATAGATTGTCCCATTTTCCAAAGAACCCGGCATGCCCCACATGCCAAAGGAGTAGAATGTATCGCAAGCGAGTCACATCGAAACGCGCGGACCCACTCGCAGACCGAGGGATGCTGCCCGAGGTGACGCAATTTGGGGAACGAATCGCCACTGACTTCATCATTGTAAGAAAGCTTAAGGACGGCAAAGAAAATGCAGTCCAAGTAGTGCGCGATGAGTTTTCAGGGTGGATTAGAGCATATCCGATTGCAAAAAGGGACACGGATTCGGTTTCACGAAACCTTCTGTTGTTCTTAGGCCCAGCATATGATGATCGAACAACCGTCATGTGCAAATCCGATCAAGCAGCTGAGATTCTGGCTGCATGTAAGCGTTTGGGCTTCATACATGAGGGTACGCTTGAAAATCGTTTTCCCCATAATTCACAGCTTGAACGAGACATTCGAACCATTGAAGAGATCGCGAGAGCTACGCACTTAGGTGCTGGTTTCGAGGTCGTTCCGGACTTATGGCCGTTAAGTGTAGACTACGCGGCTACAATGTTATCTGCAAAGCACATTGCTGCTGGCAAAGATCAGACTCGCCACTGCCTCGCAGTTGGCACGGAGTTCACTGGACGTAAGCTTCTGTTGGGACAGCTCGTGCATTATCGTGTTGACCCTACGTTGAGGGATAAGATAGCTCCTTCAACGAATCCGGGTTTGTTCGCTGGGTTTAGATACGATTCGGGCCCAAAGAGCTTTAAAGGGGTGTTGTTTGTTCTCGATTACCAAAAGATCAAGAATCGCACTCCCGGTTATGCACTCCCCATAGCTGTTCCTACCGAGGAGGTTTGGGTTGACGACAAACAGCCACCACAACTTCCTTTGAAGGGTGCTGCCGAAACTGCGTTAGCAAACTTTGATCAGCCAAAGCTAGATGACATTCAACCTTTAGACATACCGTTTGCTGCGATTGATGGCGTGACCACGCCACGGACGCACAACGAGTATATTACCATGGATAGAGTTTTCAAATTCGGTGCCACACCGGGGTGCCGAGGATGCGAATTCGAATCAACCAAACATACGCCGCTTTGTAGAGCTAGATTCAATGCATTGATTCGCGCCGACAGAATTGCCAAGGCTCCTAAGACACC